TGGTAGATAAAGTGGATGGAGAGAAAAACTAATGCATCTTTGGCAGCTTTATTCTCAATTCAATCAAATAATAATGGCAGATTATTTTTAAAATACTATTTCTGCCTAAATATAATCTTTCCCTCCACAAAAAAAAAATGGTTACCAACATTCTAACTTTCTTTGTACAGTTGCTCCAGAAAGAGGAATTAATCCTGGGAAAAAGAAATATGTTTAGAATAAACTGTAATCAAATTATAGAGTCAGTTTTTTCCCCCTGAAAATTTTAATTAAAACCATATTATGCTTTATGTACAAAGGTATTCATCATATCTTTATGAATTAATAGTCAAATATAACCTGAATAGACACAGATGATTAAGTTATGATACATTACTGCATGGAATATTATGCTGGTTTTAAAATTAATGTTTGTGGGACTTTTGCTTTTGGGCACAGTATAGTAATAGGGAAAAGATTTATCCTTTTTCCTAAAACAGGAAGACAACCAGATCCATTAGATAAAGTCATTATTTTCATATATTATACGAAAAGTAGTAGAAAGCTAGAAGAAAAGGGAAACAAATGCCTTTGATCCTTCCAAATGCCTCAGTTATTGCCTGGAGACAGTTTTTCGGGCTGCAATGCAGAGATGGGAGATCCAAAAAAACCCAGTTATTTTGCCAATTTGAACTAGAATGTATAGGACCCAATATTAGAGAGGATGTTCCTGCATAAAGAGAATGTGACTCCTAGAGATCTGCAGAGGGATCCTTTTGGCTGAATACTATTATGTATATATGTGAGAGGAAACTAACAGGCTTAGGAAAGAAATACAAGAAAGAAGTAGGCCAAACAATTTGGGAACAGACATATGACCGGATATTTCATTTCCTACTAAGAGTATGAAGAAAATGTAATATATGAGGCATATGATAGCAGCCTCAGGTGGACTTCATGTCAGTAGCAAGGCTAAGTTAAGCTTTAGAGTCAAGACTGTTCTCCCTCTGTCTTAACAAAGCTTAAAAAATAGTGAGACTTGAAAGGATCAAAATTTATTTCACATAACTTACTTCATACCACAACAAAATCTAACATAATTTAAAGGAATACAACAAATTGTAGCAAACAAAAGTGTAAAATTTATAATTCTTGGCTTACAGTAAAAGTCTTTAAAGCATGCAAAGATTGCATGAAAATATAACCCATAGACAGGCGGAAAATACCTGTCAATGATAGAAGTGAAAACAGCTATTCTAAATACATTCTACATATCCATGTTTCCAGGGAAAACATTAACATTATGAAGAAAGAAATGAAAGTCACAAAAAGACCCAAATGAAACTTCTAGAAATGAAAGAAAATAATACCTAAAGTGAGAAGAAAGAAAAAAAAAAACAAACCAACAAGTCACTAGATAGGATTAACAGGAGATTAACATTGCATAAGAAAAGATTAGTGAGATACAGCAAGTAAAACTAATAATAATGAAGCACAGAACACAAAAAGACTGAACAGAAACTCCTAGCGAACTTTGCGAAAATATAAACTACTCTACCATACATATAAATGGAGTCCCAAAAAGAAGAGGAAAAGCAAGACAGAGAGAGAAGACAGAAAAAAAATTTAATAATAGCTAAATTGTAAATATTTGATAAAAATTATAAACCAGAATTTTTCAGCCTTTGCAACATGACATTTGGGACTGCTTAAGTTTTTGTTGTGAAGCACTGTCCTGTACATTATAAGATGTTTACCAGCAACTCTGATCTCTACTTACTAGATGCCAGTAGCACTACCTATTGTGACCATCAGAAATCACCACAAACATTGTCAGATATCCTTGGGGAATGATGGGAACAAAAAAAATCCTCTAGTTGAGAATCATTGCATAAACTCATAGGTACAAGAAAAACGTCAATGAAAACTAAGCTGAAGGAATGTTAAAACCATATCAAGCATCAACATAGTGAAACTGTTGAAAACCAATGAAAAAGAGAAAATCTTAAAGCAGCTAGACCGAAAAAAAAAAAAAAAAAGACAAAAACAGAAAACCCAAACAGAACATAGGTAAGAACTGGTGCAGACTTTTTTCCAGATCTGAAATCAAGGGGAAAGAACTATCAATTTATATACTATATCAGTTAAGATAACTTTAAAAAATATTGGTGAAACTTAACCCTGATAATGGGTATTTATGAAGAGCCACAGGTACCTTTACCTTGATGGAATTATACAAGGATGCTTGCTTTCCCTACTGCTATTCAACACTGCATTATAAAATGTAGCCAAAGAAATTAGACCAAAAAAGAGATATAAACAGTATTCAATTTGAAGGGAAGAAGTAAAACTATCTTTGTTCATAGATGACTTGATCCTATATATAGAAAAGCCACGGATGCAGCAATGTTGCTAGATACCAGATCAGCATGTAAAAGTCATTTGAATTTCTCTATCTCAGCAATGAACACTCCAAAATGGAAACTAAAACAATTCTACTTATAGCAACATCCAAAAGAATAAAATACCTTCTACTTAAGGAGGTAAACAATTTTATACAGAAAACTATAGATGACTGTTGAACAAAATTAAAAGCATCTCATGTTAATATCAATAGATTGGAATTTTTTTATTGTTAAGAGGGCAGTCCTACCCAGGTGATCTACAGATTCATTGCAGTCTTTGTCAAAATTCATTTTGATAAAATTTGCAATTTTTGTATTCCAAAGTGACTGTTTCATCTTGCATTCCCTCCAGCAAAGGAAACCATTGACAAAGACAGTCTACAGAGTGGGAGAAAATATTTGCAATTCATATATTTGGAAAGTCATTAATATCCAAAATATATAGAAAACTCATACAAGTCTCTAAAAACAAACAAACAAAATCCAGCAATAAAACAGGCAGAGGATCTGAGTAGACATTTTTCTTTTTTAATATTAATTATTTTTATATCACTGTTCTTTTTTTTTTAAAGATTTATTTGTTTGTTTGTTTGTTTATATAAGCACTGGGTATGTTATAGGGCAGGGAGGGGGCAGCCCAAACCCTGCAAACCTGCCTACTCTAAGTGGGTTCTGCCATCCGCCGTATCAACACAAAACATATGAGACTTTAATGGGAAGGAACTTTAATACAATTAGGAAACAATACAGGAAAGGCAAAGAATATAGTTTCTAAATTAAGAACCCAAAGTTACCTGTCCCCTCGTGGGTAAAACTCCATCCAAATGGGATTGGCCCAGAGAAAGGCCCCAAAGCCTGCCACAAGTCTAAAGCACCTTCCAGGGGGACCCACAGAAAAGGGTCAGAAACAACCAGACAAGCCCAGAAGGAAAAGAGCAAAATCAACATTAAGATAAAAGCTGCCACCTCCCCATGGGTCTCACCCACATCTGTGTCACCCAGTCCACGACCAAAAGACAAGCGCAGTTTCTTCACGTGTCTCTAGGCTCCACGCGCCTCCTCCAGGACTCCTGGCTCCATCCTGCTTCCTTCCTCAGTCTCTTCTGCAGCTTCTCCTCTCCCTGCTCAGCTCCACTCTCCCTTGGGTGGGACAGGGAACCTGGAACCTCCCCCTTTCCTGGGGACCACCCTGTTACAGGTACAGTCAGAAGCACGGGAGGGTGAGAGAATTCACCAGAGCCAGAGCAGGGAGCAGAGCAGGCAGACTGAAGTACACTGCTGAGGGGAGCAGTGGGCGGCAGGAGAGGTCTGCGCACCATGTGGGACCCTCCTCTGGTGGTCGGGGAGCAGCCGGGGATCGAACCGGCACTGCAGAGGCTGCGGGCAGCTTCGCAACCCAGCGCTCAACCTCTGAGCCACCGGGGAGGCCCTCACTGTTGATTTTTAAACAATATTTGCTTCCCTCCACCCCCTCAGGTGTAGTCCCCATAGAGTTTCCTTCACCAAGGCACTCGTGCACCATCACCTCAGTCCCCTGTGCTCCTCCCTTCCTCCCTCTGATCCCTCTCCCACCTCCTCCCCTGCAGTATGTCTCTGATTTATAATTGTTCGTTTTTGCTTTGTTGTGTTTTGTACTGTTATTTAGAAAACTGTCTGAGTAGACAGTTTTCTAAAGAAGATACACAAATGAACCAGCTTTTGGTTTCCTTAATCTTATGGACATCTTTTTTATTTCTATTTCATTTATTTCTGCTCTAATTTTTATTATTTTCTTCTTTCTACTGGATTTTGGTTTTCTTCATCTTTTAGTTCCTTAAGGTGAGAGATAAGATTACTTATTTGAACTTTTTATTATTTCTTGATGTCTTATCCAGGTGTAAAACCTCTTCAGTATTTGCAGGAAACATGGACTTTCATAAAGGTTGCAGTTTCATCCCTTCAGACAATAACAACATCCAAGTACACTGTGTCCACATTACATGTTTTGGAAGAATATTATTTTTAAATTTAATCTTAATCTTCTTCTTTTGAGAACATAGCAGTGCAAGATCTATTGAATACTTGATTTTGGAAAGGGTTTCCTTAACAGTTTTTCTTTTTTCTTTCATTTTAAATCTCAAATTTATTTCCATTTTCTCTCCTTCTTTTCACCTAAAAATATTGTGGTCAGATTTGAAGTTTTACTACAGCTTAGTTTCTTTCTTATTTAGGAACTTTAATTTTGTTAATTTAGATATGATTTTCCTGATTACATTCATTTCTGGTATTTATAATTCATATTTTGCTTTCATTTTCCCACATTGAACATTCATATTTTCCAGAGTCAACTTAGCAAATATCTAATAATCAGCTGGGGAATGGCTTTTAAATGATCAAAAAAAAGATAGTGAAATGACCAAAGCCTGCTGGTGGGTACTCATTCCACTGCTGTGATAACTGGAGAGTCCCCTTGCTTTTCTGGTACCATCTTAAAATTGTAGGGCCAATAAAGTCTCAGAGAAATGGTGTGGAGAGTTAAATCTTTAGTATTCCTTGTCAAAGTTGTGTTTTGTAACTGGTTTAAATACACACTGGTTTAATTCATATTTCTTTTTTTCCATCTTTTTTTATTCATAGTCATCAGAGAAGAAAGGAAAAGAAGCAAATACTGGTTTTGGTGGGCCAGTTGTTAGTTCACTATATCATGAAGAAATCATCAGGTAATTTCTGTTCTGATCTTTGATTTAAAAATACATACATGTATGTATCTATATTTGTGTACTTATATATGTATATTAGTATATATATTTTAATCCTGAAAACTTCCATCTGTGAAGAATTTTTTCTTAAAATGAAACCAATTTAATGATACCTCTATTAGGATAATATATGGCAGGAAAGAATTTTTTAGGTGTGTAATCTTTAAAATCAATGTGTCTGGGTCTGTGCCAGATAGTAAACTTTTCCCTATGTAAGTAGTTGGTAGGGCAAGATTTTACATGTCAGTCTAAAGCAATGGATTTTTATTATTGTTAGTTTTCCAAAAAAGTACCATTGTTTCTTTTAAGGGTTTTAATTTTACCTTTCACCCTAGCTACAATTTAAAAGTAATTTTGGGGTGTAAAATGGTGCACTGTGGAAAACCGTAAAAAAATTAAACAAAGAATTACCATATGATCCAGCAATTCTGCTTATAGTTCTATATCCAAAAGAATTGAAAGTGGGATCTTTAACATATATTTGTACACTCACATTCATAGCAGCACTATTCACAGTAGCTAAGAGATGGAAGCCAACCCAAGTGTCCATTACCGATTAAGGGACAAACAAAATGTGGCGTGTAGATATATATAATGGAATATTATTAATCCTTAAAAAGATAAGACATTCTGACACATGCTGGAATGTGGATGAACCTTGACATTATGCTAATCCAGTCACAAAAAGACAACTACTGTATTATTCCACTTATATGAGGAATCAAATGTAGTCAAATTTATGACAGAAAGAAATGGTGGTTCAAAAGGGAGTGGGGATTGAACTGTTACATAATGAGATTAGAGTTTCAGCTTGAAAAGATGAAAAAATTTTGGAGATTGCTTGTACCACAATGTGTCTAACACTACTGAACTGTATACTTAGAAATGATTAAAGTGGTATATTGTTACGTGTTTTTTAGAATAATTAATTTTTTAAAAGGTCATTTTGTGTTATTTAACAGACGTCCTAAATTTTTATATTATGTATAAATTTCTGGGATAATTTTTTTCTTTTAGGACTGTAAATCAGGAAAGGCATTCTATTCTGCTTTAAAATCATGTGACACATTGTTACTTAACAAATAAAAGCATGAAGCAGGAATCTCTGAAGTTCTTACCCTTTTTTTGAGTTATCTGATCTTTACTTTTCTTGTTGGCCAATATGAAATAAATGTGTTCTAATTTTCCAATGGAAAATTGGATTCACCTAAATTCATCGAACTGGGGGGATCTCTTATCATCATGATCTCTTATCATCATGAAGAAAAAATTGTACCAAAAATGTATGCTTCACTTTTGCAGAAGAGTTTGCTGACATGATCCACCACATAAAGAAGTAGTGATGAGAACTCTCAGGTAGCATTCTAGGGGGAAAGTCATTGACATCATAATCAAAAACTGTAATGCTCAGTTTCAAGTTAATGACCAGTCAGTTAATACTAGGGTATAATGGTGGGTCTCTTTGCATAACAAGGACATTTTTGTTAAGATTAATGTTTATTCAAGGATGACTGATGGAGATTGGGGGAATAAAGATACCCTTAAGGCTATTTCTTCCTGGAATGTATTTGCCACCCTCAGCCCTTTTAGAAACCCTGAGAACTCTGAGGAATCCATACAGGGTTCTGAGAAACCACAGTTTAAAAAACATTGTCAGAGTTTAACCTCACTTCCCCTCAACCCTTATATATTTGGAAAGTGTTTGGGGGTTCTTAATTTATATATTCTGTCCTTAGAGTCATCTATAAAATGAGTCTTAACCCTGCTAATCAGTGTATTAAGTATTCAAGTCAATTAGTTATTTTTCTAGGTTATGGGAGATGTTAGTCATTTTTCCTCTGTTTTTCCATAATTCTTTCTTTACACTTCTGTTACAGCATTTATGATAGTATACCACATTGAATTGTAATCTTTTTAAAAAACAACTTTATCCTTTCCATTAAAATGTTAGTGTTTGGAGAGCAAGGATCATATTTTATCTATCTCTCCATTCTCAGTATCTGAGGGAGTTCCCAGGACTTAGTAGGTATCTAGTAAAAGTGTCCAGACTTTGGAAGGTATAAACAGCTCCTTCCTTCAAGGAGTCGATAATTGTAAGCTGGTAGTTCAGTAACTGTTGCTTACATAGATTTACCTAGTGTTTCTCCCATAAAGCAGAGAGCTGCTAGTTTAACAGTAAATTTGTCACTGCTATGGCAGATCAGAAGTCATAGCAGCTAGTCATATTCTTATATTAAAGGATTCATTTTATGATGTAACAGATTTCAGTATAACAACCTAGATCATGGTAAAAAAAATTATTAATGCTCTAATGTTAAGTTATTCCAGAGAAAGATCAGATGTAGTCCTATTGTTTCTTAAGTATAAGAATGTAATTGCAACAAGGATAACAAGCTGTTTGTTCAAATATTTGAAATCAAACTTTGTTTATACTTTGGTGAAGTATAGTTAGTTTTTTTCCCCCAAGATCAAGTTGTGCTTTGATTGCAGTTTCTTAATGTTTAACAGATATGAAAGAGACTGTAAGTTTTAGAATTTTCAAAACATCAAAAGATAAACTTGGATAAAAGGAAAAGATTTCTTCTATAGAACCATTTTTTTTTTTTAAGATTTATTTATTTATTCATACAAGCACTGGGTACAGTCAAAGCGCGGGAGGGTGAGAGAATTCACCAGAGCCAGAGCGGGGAACAGAACAGGCAGACTGACGAAATACACTGCTGAGGGGAGCAGCGGGCAGGGCAGGAGAGGTCTCTCGCTCCATGTGGGACCCTCGCTGGCAGTCAGGAACGAACCGGCACTGCAGAGGCTGCGGGTAGCTTCGTAGCCCAGCGCTCAACCGCTGCGCCACCAGGGGAGACCCTAGAACCATTGTTTTTAAAAAGAAAAATAAAATATATTGTATTTTGAAGGTTCATTTTGAATATTTCAGTGTATAAACTTCTAGGTTTTTTCCCCACATTTTTAACAATAAGGAAAATCAGTATCTAATAAACTGATTTGATAAGGCTAGCCTTCTACTGTTATGGCAGCTTTCCTGACTAATGAGCATTATAGGTGGGAAGCTAAGTGCTGTTTTTAGTTTTATTGTAAAAGTTCTTGAGCCATAGCCACTGGGCCTATTCTGAGCTTGCTTCCTACCTGTTTTGATTCTGACCTTTATTCCTACTCTATCACAGGAAGTGACAATAAAATGTCATACGCACCTGTCTCTATGTCTTTAATTATAAAGCCCTGACACTCGTTTCTCATTCTGAAGCTAGTTTTTATGTAGTATAATGGAGGGAATATAGTGTAAAACTTATAAAGTACAGAATTCATGGAACCAAACTGCTGGCGTTCAAATGCTGCTGATTCGACTGCTTACTGGCTTTGTGACAGTGGACAAGTTACTCATCTGTAAAATGGGGATAACTGCAGTACATTTACGTGAATTACCTAATTTCTACACACAGCATCTTAGAACAATATCTGGCACAAAACACGTTACTATGTAACTATTAGTTTTTACTAGAATTGTTACTCAGCATAGACTCCCCACAGAGCAGAAGCTAAGCACGAGCTGTTTTTTTAGGTGCTAAAGTCTGGTAATAGATTGGGGTACAAGGTGTTTGCTTTGGTAAAAGAAAGTGAAGTGAAACATAGGGAAGAGAGTCTCTATTAGATGTGTCTGGAAATATAGAAGCAAGAGAGTAACAAATCTTGTAACCCATGGACACTTACTCTGGTATTGAGATCATCTATGTTTCATTTATACTGTAGACTGGCAGAAAAAGCTCTGGTTAATAAGCATAGAGCTCTACCATGATTCTGTGCTACACATACTGACTCACTTAACAAGAAATCACTTTTAGTGACTTGTATACTTAAAAGGTTTTATCTGTAAGTTGGCACATAATTTGAGAAATTAGAACAAGAATTAAAAATGCAGTAAATGAAGCGTATTGGTCTCCATCCCACCCTGCAATAAGCTTTGATCTTGTTTTGTAGTTTGATGCTATGTAATCTATCAGAATTTTATTAATCCCACTTACACAAGCAGCCATCTGGACCTTCTCTAAGACCCAACCAGTATACAACTAAAATGATTGATGGGCTCTGGAATTGATTAGTTGTTCTGTGAGACAAATGAACTGTTTTGGCAGAAAATACCAGAGGTCACTGCTGTGGCCAGACACAAAAGCCTGTAGAATTTTAAAGATATGCTTTCATCGTTGACTTATAAAGTTTCAATTTTTAAGCAATACTAGATTTTGAAAATATTTTAAAGTGTCTTTTCATTGGTTGCTCTCTAATACTGATTATAAAATGGGAGAATAAATGTAAAAACTAGAATGACGTGGTTATTTTTGCTTTAATTTTATAATTTTGGTGAAAATATAAACTAGAATGAAAACAGCTTGAAAATCTGTTACTTACACGTAAGTTATACTAAAATTATCCCTAAGAGGGATGTGATTAGAGAAAACATTGCAACATATATTGTTTTATTGTGGCTTATAAAATCAGATTGTATAAAATCCTATTTATTTATTCATCAAATTGTCACATTGCAACCTGTTTTTAACAAATATTTAAAACCAAAGCTTCAAGCGTATATATATTTTGCATTTTAAAAACGAATATTCAGATTTTTATGCTTACAACAGACTAAGGTCATTCTGGGACGCTTCTGTCCCATTATCAGACTGCCCTCAGCACCAAAATGGTTATCTTGCTTCCCTCCATCTGTTTGGCTGGTGGTAGCTAAATCCTTCCCTATTTCACCATGTTGCCTATGATCAACATTGTGTTAACACTTTGGTGATAGGTGATAAATTGGATGACATATGTCTTGTTACATTCTGGTTATTCTTTGAGGACTACACACGTGTGTATAGGCAAGTGGACAACTCCCCCTTGAGAATCTGACTGCTCAGAATGAACTTGAGTTATGGATTTATTCAGCCTGTAAAACCTCA